AAATTTACTAGTAAAGTGTTAATTGTTTTTTTTGTTGTTTGTAAAAATCTTTTCATCTTTTTATTTCTTTATTTTTTATAACATTAACGCAGTTATTGCCACGGTACTTTTTTTAGGGTCAAGTTGTACATCTCTTAAAAAAAATTTTTTAAACGTTCTTATATAAAATACTTCTTTTCTTAAATCCTATTATCCTTATCCTAAAAAGTTAATTTTAGGTCCAGCGAGTCACATATAAACCACCTTGAGCCAATCCAAACAACAATTAAACCTCTCAAACTCGCGTATACATGTACGGGACTTAAGAAAATTTTCAATTATGACGTTATAACAAATGTAACACTGTCACATTTATCCAATACAATCATAAATAAATATATTTATGAATATTAATAAATAGAATTAGAAATATATACATATTTCTAATAAAAATCTAGTCTTAATGCATTTAAAATATTAAATTGGAACTATTTATTCTAAGTTTTTTTTTATCAAAAGCATTAAGACTACTACCCATCTAAGATTCGAACTTAGATAAAAAATATTAGGAATATTTCGCTTTACCATTAAGCAAATGGGTATTTTTATTTTATTTTATATTATATTCTTTTTTTTCTTGATATTTAAATGAAGGATTTTACAAAAAAAAATACACAAAAAAAATAAATTTTTTTATAATAAAACCCATTACTAATAATACTTTTATTATATAATATTCTTTTTTTTGTCTATAAAAATTATGATAACCTTAATATTGTGCATAATTTAAATATATTTTATAAAATTCGGAGGGCCATAAATCCACTTTCTTTTTTCTTTAAAAAAGAAGAAAGTAGAAGAATAACCTACATTACTTAATACATCCGAAGGTACATTAACATTTACAGATTTAGTAAACTTACGGTGTTACCTGAGACTGACGTATTAATATTCTTGGCACTCTCTGCCAAAGCTTTGGCAGTATCATCAATACAATACATTGTTTGAGATACTAAAAATCAATTTCTCTGCCTTCTACTTTTTTCCGGCCTTTTTTTTTTTTAATAAAAAATAAAAAAGGTATAGAAGCAGCAAGGGCCTAAAATAAAAAAAACAGTAAGTAATAATGTACCAAATATAAAAGTAAATATAATATATTTACCTTCAAAAAGCTAAAAAAATTTATTTTTTTAGTTTATCACCAAAATTAATTATTCCACCTAATTGTAAAATTTAATAAATTAAAAGTACTTTGTAAGGGTAAACTTACAAAAGCATGAGGTTTAGGCGGGCTTGTTAATGCTCATTCTAAACTGTTATAACTTCTATTTAATAATGTTTGAAGACTATCGCTATAAAATTGTGGTGTTAGTCATGGGTATCTGCTTGTAGCTTTACCTTCAACTAACTGTACATAAACTATGTATAAAAATAATCATGTAGCTATCACACTTATAATACTACCAAAACTACTAATAAGATTTCAACCAGCAAAAGCATCTGGGTAATCACTTATACGACGCGGCATTCCTTGTAGACCTAAAAAATGTTGAGGGAAGAATGTTACATTAACCCCTATAAATAATATTCAGAAATGTACTTTCCCTAAC